CGCGCGGCCGCGCGGCGCGGGCCCGGCCCCCCAAGTGTGCACGGAGCTCACGGTGGCCGCGCGCGCCTCAGTCCGCGCTCTGCACACTGCGGCCCTGCCCCCGCCGAGCCTCACCCTGCAGCAGGGACAGGTGACCCCCCCTGCCCTAGGCGGCGGCAGCCACCGCGCCCAACACGGGTCTTCGAGGGTCCCAGAGGCTCCGGTGAGCAGCCAGAGAAGGGCGCCCCAGGGCTGTGGGCCGCGCCTGGGCTTCTGCCTGCTCTGCAGAGGATGGCGTGGACACCCACCCCACACCTGGTTCGAACCTGCAGGGGACAGACCTGAGATCTGTTCTCCACCCCTCCCCCCACGCTCCCTTGGAGACACCACCTCCTAGACCCAGCCGTGCCACGCACGCGCCACCCTGTGACCTTGGACGACCTTCCAGTTCTCTGTGTCCCCAGCAGTGCAGAGATGTTTACCCGCGGCCTGTGCTGCGGCGCTTACTCAGATCTCAAGGGGAACAGAGCCGGCCCTGGTGGCCTCCTGGGTCCCCAGCCCAGGCCACTGGGGGGCCCTAGCGCTGGGCTGGTTCTTTGTCCTTCTAGAAGATGGCCCAAACCAGCAACTTCCTCCTACAGCGGACGCCGAGGATGGTTTTAGTGCGACTAAGCCTGGGGGGGGGGAGGGCGCTGGGGGCCCTGCCGGAAACCGATGTGGGTTCCAGGTGGCCATTTGAAAAAGTAGTGTTTGTTTTCTCGGGGAGCCGAGGAGTTACAGAGTTTGGGAAGTGGAGCTACGGAAAGGAGCCCATCCCCCAGGGCGGGCTGTGTCCCTCTGGCACATTCCTGCAGTCTGCTGATGGGTTCTTGGAGCAGGTCTGAGGGCTGCCTTGGAATCAGTTCCTAGAAGAGAGGCCGACAGGCCAAAGACCAGGATGCCTTTTGCCAGCATGGACGCACAGGCAGACCAATTGGCCAGCCGCCCCCAGGGGGAGGGGGAGTGCCCGATTCCCCTCTCCCTTGCCAGCTGTGCTGGGTGCCCTGCGGGTTTGCCTCTGACAACCCTGCAGGTAAGACCAAGGCTTCCTCGCTGTGGTTTGCATTCCTCGGGCTGCGGAATGGGTTTCTGTTTCATGATCGGCTCTTGGAGGCCTGCCTGCGTGTGCACATTGGGCCGTCTCCGAATGTCTCCACTGGGCTGCCTGTCTTGTTGATTTTTAAGAGCTTTTTAGACAAGAGATGTCGGCCGTCTGCACCACGTGCTCATGCACACTGCGTGTATCTGCCCCGTGGGGTCCTGCTTCTCTTAAATTTGAGCTGTGTTCTGTTCTCACCACGTTGCTTTCTGTGCACAACCTTAAAGAAGCTTTTTGTGTGTTTTTTAAAAAATGCCTGGTGGCTTTGTCTATAGCCCGCCACTTGAGCAACATCTATAACTCCCACAGAGTGGCAGCCTTGGCAACTCACAGGGGCAGTTCTACCTTGTCCTATAGGCGTTGACTCGATGGTACCAGGTGTGTGTGTGTGTGTTTGTTTTTAGTGAGCGGGGAAGCTAACAGGCTAGGGGATTGAGCGTTTGCAAAAACACTGAACAACCCTCCTCCACTCTGGCCCACGGTGACCCGACAGGACACCGGGTGGAGATGCGGGTGGGGTGGGGTGGACAGGAAGACCTGCCCCATGGTGGTCCAGAGGCTCTCAGTCTGCACAGAAGCAGACGGAGCAGCTGGCGGGTTAGACTCTTAGCCTGATTTTCAGGCAGCCCAGAGGGGCCTTAACACATCGTGGAGCGTGCACTATTGGGGTGCGGTGGTCAGTTCTGCTGAATGAGCGATGGTGTCTGGGACAACTTTTCAACTCCCAAGCGTCCACTAGCGTTCACCCAGCCTGTGGCTGACTTTCTCAGTGACACAGCAGCATGAGCCACGCACCAAGGCCTGACCCCGGGGTTCCTGGGAGCCGGGCTGATGCCAGGTCATGCAGTGTCCTCAAAGGAAGAGGAGTTTCTTGGGTTCTTCTGCAAGCGGCCCGTTTTCAGAAGTGTGTGCGCAAGCTCGTGCAAGGGCAGGGGGCTATTTGATGTAGTTCTTCCAGCCAAAGTCTCCCAGCAGGCGGTCGGTCTGTCCCTTGGAGCATTTATGAGCACACTTGTCCGGGGAACCACTCAGCCCTGAGTAGCTCTCACAGGCCTTACAACTGGTTCACTTCCTTAACCAACCCTTTAATCACGAATATTGGCTGTGAGTTCCAGATAGCTCTTGCAATGGATATTAGAACCCAGAGAGAGAAAACAGAACCAATGAAGACCGCGGCATATGTGGGGGACCAGCCTCCCCACAACCAAATGGGTCCCAGGGGCAAGTGCAAGAGACAGGAGACAAGCCCTGTAAGGGCTCACCCCCTCCATGGCGACCAGACCCAGAATGAGGCTGGAATGCCGTCTCTTACGGCTTATATCATCTGGGGCCTGCAGGTCATGGTAAGCACATATGTAACAGCAGGGGTTGTATTAGAGACATACATGTGGCAGGTAGGCACATACCCAACAAGATGGGTGGGCTGTAGAGTCAAGATGGTGGCCTAACCTTAGTCGGCTCTGAGCTAGCTTGACCTTGGGTGTCTCTGAGCTCTTCCCCAGGGGAATAATGATCTTTATCAGAAGGGGGTGGGCCCTGCTTAGGGTGGGACAGATAATTGGGTCTGCTGGCTCTCAATGGCAGACAGCCTTCAGACAAGTAGCCTTCAAGCAGTTGACCTTCCACCGTTTGCAGTAGCAACCACGCCCTTACAAGCACCGGAAGATTGGTCTTAAGTCCCTAAGGCGTCCCGGGAATAACTTTTACTTGGGAGACTTGCTGGAACCCGTCTCCAACCTACTAACGTGAAAGTCTCCCACTCACGGGAGCCGGGCTGCTTCAGATCGGAGCCTTGAGAATTTGTCCGCATCTACTCTCTTCCTGGTTCTATTTCCCACAAGTGTATATATGTACACACACACACACACACACACACACACACACACACACTAACTTTTAGGTGTTCTTGTCTATTCCAGCGGTTCTCAACCTGTGGGTCGACACCCCTTTAGGAGGTCAAACGACCTTTCACATACTTCCGATGGTCTTAGGAACCGAGACGCAGAAATGCCAACAGACGAGTACCTGGTGTGAAGACTGTTACCCATACCACACCGTGCTTCAGGAAAAAATTTCATTGATTTGTCATTAGAAAGAAATATTTCACAATATAGGATTATGCATTGTTTTTGCGATTCATCACTATGCTTTAATTATGTTCAATTTGTAACAATGAAAATGCATCCTGCCTATCAGATATTTACAGTGCCGTGCAGACTCGGGTTTCTCAGGAGAGGTGGGTAGATCGGGAGAAGAGGACCCAGGGGGCTCTGGGTGGCCAGAATAGGGAGGAGGGCAAGTAGGGGGTGAGGATAGGTGCTCAGGCAGGTCTGAGAAGGTAGACACGAGGGTTGGGGCAGAAGCAGGAGGAGAGGAGGAATTTTCTCTAGCCAAGAGGATTTGGGAAGGGGAGCAGGAAACACAGAAAGAGGCAGGAGCGCAGAGAAAAGACGGCCTGGACATGCAGAACCTCGGACCATTTCTCGGTCCTTTGGCAGAAGTTACTTAGATCAGTTAAAATATTGAAAGCAAAAGTCCCTTGTTTGGGCCACTTAGACCTGTTATCCAAATTGTACTGGGGCCACTCGACCGTGGAGAAAAAAGGTGAGGCGCTTTGGACGAGTGTCCGGCACCAGCCCTAGTTTAGTGAGGTTGGCCAGTAGACACCTTAGAGGTGTCCAGGGGTCAATTTTAGAATTTTGATTACCCATGGCTAATCTCCAGAGACCAAGGTCAAGGCTAAAGGACCAGTGTCCCAATTGTTTCCCCTTGGCTAGGTCAGAATAAGGACCGCAGGGTTGATGGACCGTCTCCACTGCCACCTTGGGTCGGACAGGAAAACGGACAGTGATCTCTGACGTGGTCACGTGTTTACAGACACAGAGGCAGGTGGGGGTCACCAGAAATAGACATGGGTTGGGACTTACTGTCTGTGCTACCAGACCAGAGCGCAGCCGAGGATCCCTGGGGCAAATGGGAGAGGAGGACTCCCCAAATATGCTCTAGGCAGCTAAGAGGGTGCTCACTCCTCCGGGGTTTCAGCACCGTATAGTAAGTTCGCTGCAAAGATGAACAGAAGCCAGGCCAGAGAGAAGAAAAAGGGGAAGTTTATTCCGCGTTCTCTGGGAGGGATTCATGGACTCCAGCAGGGAGCCAGAGAAGCTGTGCTACCAGGGAGGGAGAGGAGAGAAGAGAAAGGGAGAGAAAGATGGGAGCCCTGAACTCCCGGGTGAACTCCACGGGCCCCCACTGGGGGGACCCGAGAAGTCGCTCTTTTCTGCGGTGGAGAACTAGTTTTAAGCTGGTCAGGAAGTGAAGAGGGTAAAAGCAATAAAGGGAGGGGGCAGAAACAGGGACCTGTAAGCCGCCTCCATCCATGACAATTCCAACATAGGGTGGTGCTTTGCTGTTCCCTTTGGGGCCTGAGGCAGACGGCTCACTGGCCCCTGGGATTATTGGTCTGATGGGGCAGGTAGGTTATTCCTAATGTCCTCTGACTGGTACCTGACCCATCAACCACCAGTGGGCCCACCCTTGGGAACACGTGTGAGCTGGCACCCTGTGAGCAGGAGTCCACCCCAACACTGGCCTGGTGTCGGCTCTGAGTGTCCCCTGCCGGTCACAACCACAAATCTAAGTAGCTGCGTGAGGCCCCTTTACTGTGTTGAAGAGCAAGGCTGTCACTCTGAGAACCAAGGTGTGCCCAACCCGGGCCATGGTATTCACCATCTCCTGTGCCTGTGGAAGCTGCACTTCCAATAAGGAAGAACTCGGGAGAAGTGATGCCTTTGCAGGAAGGTGCTGGTGAAGGAACTCAGAAGGGTCAGGACTGAGCGCTGCCCACGTGCAGCCAGAGCACCCCTTACAAGTGAGGGTGCAAGATCCCGTGTGTGTGAGTCCAGGTGGACTAGAGAAACCAATCCATAGACACTCATGTGTATAAGAGAGAGCTTTAT